TAAAACTGCATATTTTAGAGTGGCCTTTTATTGTGGTCAGCCTAAGGCACACCTGTGCAATAATCATGCTGTCTAATCAGCATCTTGATATGCCACACCACACTTATCTCGGCAAAGGAGAAGTGCTCACTAACACAGATTTAGACAGATTTGTGAACAATATTTGAGAGAAATAGGCCTTTTGTGTACATAGAAAAAGTGTTCGATCTTTGAGTTCAACTCATGAAAAATGGGGGCAAAAACAAAAGTGTTGCGTTTATAATTTTGTTCAGTGTATATAAACTCAAAATCTACAATTCTAATCTTAAAGGAATGATAATTACATTTCTCTCTTAATCTGGAACCAATCCAATAAGATCCTAACTGAATCAGGAAAATTCTGCAGATCATCATATTGGATAAACTAAATGATAAAAATAAAAAATAAAAACACCAAAAAGCAGATATTTCCATTTACATGGTAAAAAGTGGTAATCCATTGTTTCCTCAAGAATTTATTTTTAATTGATCTAACACATAAAAATGACTTTCAAGTCAAGTAAAGAGAGATTTATTGTCATTCCGCTGTGTGTAGAGACATATAAAGGAATTAAATGTTGTCACAGGACCAGGTGTTACGTAAACATATTTTCATAAATTATAAAAACATAAAAAAAACATATCTAGCTTATATAAAGATACATTTTCATTTATGTACACTTACACTGGTGTAACCTGATTTGTCAGGTTGATTTAGTCATATTAAAAAAACATTTTTGACTATAACACCAGTAAAATAAAATTACCTGATGAAATGTTTTTAATTACCTGAAAAAAACACTTAGCAAATTCTCTCTTTTTTGGCCCTATTTGAATCCTTTAGGGTTGTTGTTGGTTTCAAAGTATGACAGAAAATTAGTCAGAAATCCTGCACATTCCTTGGGGTTTTTCGACTTCTCACTGCTGTTCATAAGGTATGGGAAGAAGTCGACATGTAACGCGGTTGGCAGAATGGGTCTTAAGTCTCATTGAGTCTCAATAAACACTTGCACACGGCCCTCACAAAGCTGTCATCAAACACTTAAGCACATGACAAGGCAAAACATGCACTTTGTCCTTAAATGTGATCATTTAGTTCGGCAGCAGTACTTCGCTGCATTGAAAATGCATGTAAAGCACAGCCAACCAGCGCCCCCTAGTGTCAGGACTGACACAGTTACTATAATAAAAGTGTCAGACATTTCACCAGAGGCTTGCAGAGGTCTCCTTAGGCAGCTCTGGCTTTTGAAAGCCAAAACCTATAGAGTCACATAATACTAACACAATTACCTCCAGCTAAACCTGCCATACGAGCACAGTATGGTCGCCATATGCGCGTCTTCTAGCCCTGTGGCCCAGTTGAAGTATCTGACCCACTTCACATCACGATAGTGGCATTAGGGTCTTTCAGACAGAGAGATTAAGGTGTGTATGTTGAATAAGGTGTGCTGTGATGATTGATGAGGTTTCCTGCGGCTTTCTCTCTGCACGGCCTTCACAAGAGGAGCAAAACAGAATGACTTTGATATCTCAAGGAGCATGGACTACCCTACTAATGCTGCTACACTAATATTAAGGAATCTAGACTAAGAAAGCGTTGATTTACCAATTTAAGCTTGGTGATCCAACGCCATCGCCGGTATAGATAATAGTTGGCTATGCTCAATGCACATCTCTGCTGTCTACGCAGGGCTAGAGGAAGTAGCGTCGGCTGTTTACACCCATCATCATAAACAAAACAGACTCTCTTTTTCTTCTTCTACTGCTGCAGGCCTCAGCATTTCAGTTGTCATTGTGATGCTGGTAGTGCCCTCCTGATTGGAGGTTGGACCCTGATTTTAAATAAGCAAAAACTGCATTTACAGCAATGAAATCAATTACAATGGATGGCTATGGGGCAAGGCACTGTACTGGGACAAACATAAAAATATTTATGTACATTATGTACAGTTTTGAAAAATATAGATAGGCTTAAAGGAGAGTTGTGTAATGTTGCATTGGTAACGCATAATAAAAGGAGAATTTAGACAGCTTTACAGCTCAAATAACACATTTTTGTAGTGGCTGACAATATGGGCTTTTAAGTGCCATAATATAATTAAATATAATATATAGACTATCGTTCAAAAGTTTGGAGACAGTAAGATTTTTAGGATTTTTTTGAATAATAATAACAATAGTGGCAAGGATGTATTAAATTGATCGAAATGACACTTTTACACTGATACAAAACAATTTCAAACAAATTATGTTCTTTCCGTTTATCAAAGAGTCATAATAATCACGGTTACTGCAAAAATATTAAGCAGCATAACCATTTTCAACATTGATAAGAAATGTTTCTTGAGAACCAAATCAGCATATTAGAATAATTTCTGAAGGATCATGTGACACTGAAGACTGGCGTAATGATGCTGAAAATTCAGCTTTGCCATCAGAGGAATAAAAATATATTTAAATAGAAAATTTATTTATTTTACATTTTAATAATATTTCAGAATATTACTGTATCATATAAATGCAGCCTTGGTGAGCATAAAAGACTTCTCAAAAACCATTAAAATCTCAAATACCCCAAACTTTTGAACGTAATGTAACTGATATTGAGAATTAATTGTATTTATTAATAATTTAAATTATTAATAGAACTCAGTTGACAGTGAATGAGGTACCATGCAGAAAACTCATAAAATGAAGTCTTTTATTTTACACAATATTAAATCAAAATTCACAAAGCTGTCAGTATAATTTGGTACAGACAATGTATGGCGATAAACACCGGTTAATCGGCCAAATGGACATATTAGAATCTTGAAATGGCCAAATAGTAGCCGATTAATAAGCTTAGTCAACAAATATCAGTCTGTCATGTCATTTTTGCTTGAAAAAAAAAATTAATACAAATACTATGACAAATAAAAGCTCCAATTTTCTGGAAAGCCTTGCTGCATAACTGTAAATAAAATCTGTTTTTTCAAACTGAGGGATGAGCCAGAATTATTTGCAGTGGTAATCGACAGCAGGCGGTGTTGAGTTTTACATGTTTGAAACCTTTAAAGCCACAGTAGAACCCATTTAATTCATAGTAAGAAGCTTTCACATTTAAACTGACGTAATCATCAGCACTTCTTATTGGCGACCATGAGCACTCAGCTCAAATCATAACAAAAAAAAAAAGATTGTTATAGTAACAGATTGGTGCCACCGAGGCTAATAAAGCACAATTTCCAGCCAAAACAAAACACAAGTGAAATTTATTTGATCTATTTAATAATCCTTGTCATTACTGTGAACAGCCAAGAATCGTGTGTCCTAAAACTCTTTGTATATAACAGCGAATATGCACTGTACATGAGAAGCTACTAAAATCTACCATGGGCTCTGGTTCTGCGCTCTTGGAATAACAGCGAACAGCAGCTTAAAACGCTTCAGGGAAAGATTGTATACAGTACAAGATGAGGGAAACAAAAATACAGAAAAATGCAAAACTTGATTCAATTTGGATTTTGTTCATAAATATAACACTGATGGCCTCTATCTCATCTTAAACCCAACTAAAAGCACGCCACTGTGCGATTCCATTCTATACACTAATGCTGTCTCTGTAACAAATTCTCATCGTGAACCGACACGATGCGACTTAAACAGTCTTAAAGCATTGCTGATTATTAGGAACAATACAAAAGGGTGCAAACACTGATACTTTACGACAACCCAAGTTTTCCAGCATTAACAAGGTGAAAAATAAAACGACAGGGACATATACTGGTTTAACTCATTTTGATATCGATGTGTGCAGGTCTCCTTTTGGGAACGCACATACATGAGACCATCAGTTGCGGGAGAACGTACACACATCCCTGAGTGGACTGAACGTCCTGAATGCGATATATGAGGTCAGTCGATTATCTAAACTGTTAAAAGACACCGTCGGTCAGGGAAAACTCAAGGGGTGATGGTCATGCAGAGGTGACGGGCACATAAACGGTCAGAACTGACCGGATCATGCTTTTGGCTAGGTGAACCCCACATTAAAAATGACCATGTGTATGAAAGGCCCTGAACAAAACATTCTCACACACAAATCATTTTATAAATAGTCAGCATAGCATAAAGGAAAACGGCATTGATGTTTAAGAAAGGTACAAAAAGAAAAAAAAGTTCCTAAAGAGTCAGAGCTTTTTTACAACATATTTTGCTAGTGTAAAGAAGGTTATCTGGTGTTTGGCACATGCTGTAACATAAAAGGTTAGCATTACACACATAGTAACAGTTATTTCCTTGTGGCTTCCCTTTATTGGATGCGTTAACCGTTAATTATTATTACCGCACACCAACCAGTGCTGGTGTTTCAATTGTGTTTTATGTGAAATCAGCTCTGTGAGGAAGAGTGAACCATCGCTACACATTTCAAACCTAAAAACCACGTCTTCAGAAAGCTTTAGAAGTTCAGACGAAGCAAATAAAGAGGATTTAAAACCGAGAAAATGAATCAACAAGCTACATATCAAAGGCACACACAGAAGGAACGGGTAAGAAAAAAAAAAAAAAAAAAGGCATTAAAAATACGGCATGCTTTGGAAAGTGCTGATGAATAAAGTGGTATTAGGACTATCAAATAATTAAAAAACAAAATATGCTGTTTAAAATGTACAAGAAAGCTGAGATGAAGGGTTAGAACACATCGGAAAGCACCCAAATTAGTAGAAATTTAGAAAATCTTAATGTACGACCCGCCTAGCGAAACCCCCAAGGTGTTGTTTAGTCTCAACAGAAACAAACCCGCAAGGAGAATCTGTGACGAATCGTTTGAAAACCTTCCCCCGACCAAACAAAAAAGGTGAATAAGAGAGAGCAGATACACACGAAATGCTTTCGGTGAATTTCTCCCGGTTGCTCTCAGGTTTTAGGGTCTCGTGTGGTGCGTATGCAGCGCTAACGTGAGTTTCAGGAGCAGGATGGATCGCGTACCATTTACAGCCGCCGGTTGTGGCCTTTTTTAAAGTTGGAACAAGGTTATAAGTTTATTGCGGATGCGCTTGGCAGTCTGGCACGTGGAGTAAAGGTGCGGGGCATGCGGGGAGTCGTGAGGTCACCAGTAAAATGAGCGGGACAGGAAGTTGGCGGCCGTGCTCAGCCAGCTCACGCCATCCTGCACGGAGCCCAGTCGCGTCACAGCCTTGTGCTGCTCCTGAGACGGGCTCTCGTCCTCAGGCAGATAATCCGGCAAATTTATGTTCTGCTCGACCACCACATCTGAGTCCTCTTGGAATGGGATTGCAATCTGGATGGGAGGGGAAAAAGAGCAATGGGAATAAACCATTTTGTTATCATTTCTAAGCTTGCAAGCAGAATTCAATTAATTATATGTTATATATATTATTTAAAATAAAAAATATATAAATTTGCAGCCAACACAACAACTTAACCATCTTTATGATACAATATGAAGGAACTATTAGGGCTGAGCAATATATCAGATACATATAAATTACTTACTTTTACTCAAATACTTATTTATAGTTGTTATGCAAAATGACTTTTAGGTCAAATAAGACATACAAAAACAGAAAGATATATTCTGCCCCAACTTCCGGTCTCAAAAAGGGGTTGCATCCACAGGAGGAGGAAAAAAAGTGATTAAATTGGATCTTTAACCATTGTTAAAATGAGAGTCAGTTCTTTGAACTTTGTCTATTTCAGTGAATTGGTTCATAAAAATGATTAAATTACTTATTTTGCATCATGACTCGAAAATGGTTAAGGAAGCCCTCCTTAAGAATGGCATTTAAGAATTATAATTTTTTGGAACAAAAAATAGCCAAAAATAAATAAATGATAGATAGATAGATAGATAGATAGATAGATAGCATTTTATTATTATTGTCATTATTGGTGCTAATAGTACACTGCAAAAAATGACTGTCCGAAATTAAATGAAGATTATTAGAGTATGTTTTACAAAACTTGTTTTTCCATTTCAAAATGTCATGTTTACTTCAGTGTTAATTGTGAAATTTACTAGCAATTTCAGAGTGAAAATTGTTTACACTATTTTTTAAAGCTATTTTAAAGCAAATGCATTTCAAGGATCATCAAAATTTATAAGACATAATATTTTTACTTGCATTAGTCCAGCCCTACTAACTATAATGCTGTTTTTCTTAATACATAGCTCTTCATTTGAGTCTGTTCAATGCAAAAGAGTGGTATCAACAAGACCATTTCTCAATCAATTGTGCCACCTGCTGGTTGAAGGAGGAAGTGCATAGTAAAGCAGCATCCAAGACCTCCGGGATTGACGGCCACCGGAGGTCATGACTGTGCCGCTGCAGGTAGAGATTGCCCTTCCAATTCAACCAGAGAGGACACTTCTTTCTTTAATTACCACACAGTGCCTATTTGCACTGCATGCAAGAGTGTGTATGTGTGTATGTGTGTGTCTCTCCAGGGTCCTCTGACACAAGGTGTCCGCAAGGGCAGAGGGACATCCTGAGTGATCATGTGATGAGGGGAAAATGAGTAAGTCTTCTGATGGGGCGGGTCTAGCAGGGTTCACCCTCAACATGTGGAACTGCATTACTCTCAGCTTTGAGGACAGACGCAGACAAGACATCATTGGCAACAAAATTAAATGCAGCACCTGATTTGAAAGAATAGCTCAACTGGCCCAAAACTGTCATTTGAAACTCGTAAGATTTTACATTGAATTCAAAAAGAGATACATTTCCCAGCCAAAAAAGGAAAGCGGTCTAGCTTCAAATAGTGACATGAAGGGGAGTAGAAGACTATTTTCATGTTTGGTTCGACTGTCTGTTTATTGTGCATTCTGTTCATTTGACACTCACCTCCGATCCATCTTCCCCCTTCACTACTTGCTGTGCCTTCATGAATTTGGTTGAAGCTATAGCAGTTCCCAAGGCCTGAAGAATGAAGAAACAGTATGAGAATGCTGAAACAGACTCTCTAATAGCATTCTCTGATCTATTAGGTGTGATTCATTTCTAAAGAATCACTTCCTTCAAACTGATATCAATTATTCTTTTTCAATTACTCAAAAATGTTCACAGATGTCCAAACCTGGCATTTTCCATGTATTAAAATGTCTTTTCTTCTTCTTTTTTTTTTTTTATATACTACTCTTCAAAAGTATGGGGTCGGTAAGATTTTTTAAAATGTTTTTGAAAGAAGTCTTTTATGCTCACCAAAGCTGCATTTTTTTAATCAAAATTACAGTAATACTGTAAAATTTTATTGAAATCTAAAATACCCGTTTTCTATTTTAATAGATTTGAAAATGTAATTTATTCCTGGGATGCAAAGCTGAATTTTCAGCAGCCATTACTCCAGTCTTCAGTGTCACATGATCCTTCAGAAATCCTTCAGATTTGGTGCTCAAGAATAATTTCTTATTATTATCAATGTTGAAACCAGCTGTGCTGCTAATATTTTTGTGAAAACCGTGATGCGTATTTTTTCAGGATTCTTTGATGAATAGAAAGTTCAAAAGAACTGCATTTATTTTAAATAGAAATCTTTTATAGTACTATAAATGCTGTTAGTGTCGCTTTTGATCAACTGAATGCATCCTTGCTGAAAAAGTATTAATTTTTTAAAAAGTCTATTACTTTATTAAAGCTTTTTTTTTAATTAAAAATGCAAAAAGCAAAACACTTTAAAATTTCACTAAAAATAACTATATATATATATATTCAATCAATGCAATATTAGCTAATGTTAACTCTCTTAAGTCTGTAGATGGTCATATGGATTGTGCTAGACCAGGGGTCTGCAACCGTCAACGTCAAAAGAGCCATTATGGCCCCTTTCCCACCGAATAAAATTCACGTGGAGCCACAACATATTTGATCCCCAAATAAAGATAACACGGCATATAGCTAACGTGTTATATTCTGTTATGTTACAGGGCATGGGGAGTAGCAATCATTTCAGAAGTGAGGGGGACAGTCAGTGGTGCTGAGGATCTGCAAATTTCCTGGCCAAAAGTTACTTCTATCATAAGATTCTGTTTTGGACTTTCTGTACGAGAGCGCCCTCCGGCTTCGAGTATGAATGAAACACACAGCGCATGAGAGTGTTCAGCGCTCCGTGATGTTCACATCGTTTTGGATAAGAATAACGTCCAAAACGACGTGACTATATTGTCGCTTTTAATTTAAATCTAGATTTATTCACATTGGCCCTTGAAAACCTCTACGTGAACACACTTGCCCGAGAAAAAGTGCATGGGAAAGAGTTCGGGAGCCGCGGGTTGCCGACCCCTGGTATAACCAGTTAGATATATGAAGTATAACGTAAGATGTGTTACCTGACTGCAGCGTATCTTAAACTTCTGCAGGCATTGTAAAACAGTGTTGCTCCTTCTGGCCACAAACTCTTCCTCCTTCTTATTCAGAGAGTGTCCGAATCTCACCTCACCACTGCAGCCGAGATACAGACAGAGCAGTGCTGAATTTAACTTCACCTATTTGATATGAATATTCTAGATCTGAATAGTTTATTCTACAATTCATTTTGATAATGTATTCTCCGAATTATCCAGTTTGTCATAGATGTTAATTGTGTAAGTGATGCAGCACAGTTCGTTATCAAATCATTTTAGGAATCTGTGCAGAATTACCTTTCCTGGGGTTTGGATGCACTCATCTATAAAACAATAGAGTTGACATTTAAGAAAATCTTCTGAAAATCATTTGATAAACTCATGAGTTCTTGTTTTCCCTATGTCATATAATCAGAAATGTTTCCTGAGCAACAAATCAACATAGGCAAGGCAAGGCAAGGCAAGTTTATTTATATAGCACATTTCATACACAATGGTAATTCAAAGTGCTTCACATAAAAGAAAAGAAAAAAAAAATCACAACAATAAAACAAGGAATTTAAAAACTTTGAAAATGATTTAAAAATTGATTTAAGAGGTTTAAAATGAATTTAAAACAGTTAAGAATAGAAAACGATTATTCATAAAATATAGTGCAATCAGTTCGGACGTTGCACAGTGCTCATTCAATATATGCACAGCTAAACAGATGAGTCTGCATTTAAATGTAACTAATGTTTTAGCACATCTGATCTCTTCTGGAAGCTGATTCCAACTGCGGGCGGCATAATAACTAAAAGCAGACTCCCCTTGTTTTGTGTGAACCCTTGGTATTTCTAACTGACTCGATCCTAATGATCTGAGTGGTCTGTTAGGTTTATAATCAGTGAACATATCTGCTATGTATTTAGGTCCTCGCTCCGTGATGTTCACATCGTTTTGGATAAGAATAACGTCCAAAACGACGTGACTATATTGTCGCTTTTAATTTAAATCTAGATTTATTCACATTGGCCCTTGAAAACCTTTTATATACTACAAACACTTTCTTTCCATTCTTATCACAGAATAAGGCAGAAAATATATTTTATAGCTTCTGTACTGTCCGAGAAAAAGTGCATGGGAAAGAGTTTAGGTTTTATTAAAAGTCGGGGGGACACCTCCCCCGCGTATTGTACACCCATGCTACAGGGAGCCACCGCAGAGGGATGAAAGAGCCCCATCCGACCCCTGTGCTAGACCGTAAACTCACCTCAGCCTTCAAGTCTGATCGGATCCTCACCACACATCTCTTCACAGCCATCTGGAAGGTAAAGCTGATGACGCCTTTGATCTTTAGCAGGGCTTCTTCACAAAGACTCCTCCGTGCCTGACATACACAGAGACAGAGTGTCAAATTGTGCAGAACCAAACATTTGAATCTCCATACACTCTGATTAAACGGGTTCCATTACAAGCTGTTTGACTGCAGTTACCGAATCATCAAGCCCGTCGATCTGAAGCACCACCGTTTTGGCCCGTTTGTTCGTTGAGCCCATAAAAAACTGGGCTTTTTTTCGGCAAGAGGCGGCCGCTTCTGCCTGTTCAGCCTCCGCGCTGCTGGAGTTCTGCAGGATCTCATAGATCTCAGACGCTAGCAGCTTGGTCTCGCCTGGTGACGTGCCCCTAGTGAAACACATCAGATCACTGTAGGATTCACAACAGATGACAAAAAAGAACAATAACAGCCACTGTTGATGAACAAAGAAATAATTGAGCAAATATGCTCGTCTAGTCTGGTTAAAAGATCATGTATTGTACATTTCAGTACTTGTCGGTGCTGATATTTGAAAAGGTCATCACTCCAGCAGACAAGGGGAGACAACATAGATCTGCGCAGGAGGGGAAATCTGCCGGCATGAGAGCTGGAGAAAAGTCAGTCTGATGGAGCTTGAACCAACTAAACTTTAGCACATACAATATTGTGATTCATCTAGTGTCATGCATTCCATACGGTTTAATATCACAAGTAAGCATAAATGCATGTTGAACTTAACTAAATTAAGTTTAAAAATGAAGAGATTGATGCATCATAGTAAGAAGAGACAAAATATACTGTTATACTGTTTTGAAGACAAAATAAACTAAAAGAAAATAAAATTTCACTTTCTGTGGATGTTGCCCATTAGGAAGGAAGGAAGGAAGAAAGAAGAAAGACTGAAATGTGTGAATAAAAAAAATCAGAAAAAATGTAAAAACTATTATCTTACTTCTCATATATATTACATATATATATATATATATATTAATAGCCTTATTGCGTATTGTGTTGCAAATTTGCTTAAAGACATCCATAAAAACCAGCCAGGAAATTGTTTAGTCTTCAGAATATTTAGTTTTTTATTTTTATATTATATTCTAATTTGTCAAATTTGGACATTATTTTCTCATGTGCATTTCCCGATAACAGGCAGCTGTAGATGATGGTAAATATAATTTAAATATTTTATAGGTAAATATAGATATGTAGATGATACTAAATATATTATCACATGACAAAAGTTATGCACACAAGTTACCCACCGGCACAAATCAACCCACTCTCCCCTTCTGATGAGGGAAAAAAAGTCTCAAATAACTAATCAAAAGTTAGTAAAAATTTATATTTAGCCAATCAGTTATTTGGTCACTAACTATAGTCAAGTGACCTGTACGTTTAATAGGGTTAAAAAAGACAGCAGTTCATTGACATCAGCATTGGAGGTCAGGCGTGACATCAGGATCTTGATATGCCCTACAGGCGCTAATGGGGGAGATGCAACGCTGCCATCATTCATGCAGAGTTACAGGAACGGACATCTGCTCGCTGGCATATCTGAGCTGCCAGACCTCAAGCTTCCCATATACACCTGAGGGAATGCTGATGGCATCTACATCCTCCGTCAAAAGGAGGCAACCTATGCAATCAATAGCTAGCTAGTTATAGTAAGACACAATGTGAGAAAACACTGAACATTCATCAAAAAAAAAAAATACTAATTCAAGCATTAGCACTGCTTATTTCCGAGCTCTGGGGTCTCATCAGGGGTGATGAAGGATTCCTTCACTTCCTCTAGCCATAAAATTTCACAGACTGGGGCGATACACGACCTCTACCCAAAATCGTTGTGCCGGAAATAGTGACGGGCAGCTTGTGGAACTGCAGGGCACTCCTTGATGGCGTCTGTGCTAACTGAAGTGACTGGTGAATCGAAGGGGGCGGGCAGGGAGTCGCCCTGAGAGAAGGATACGCAGCTCTCTACCAACCATTGGCACTTCTGTCTGTGGCACTGGCCGTCTAAGAGCCTGCAGACTTTCGCACTAGAAATAAGCCTGAACTGTAGCGAATATACAAACAAACATGGATCCTTGATTCCTGCGCCTCTATACTTAGCCATGGGGGTGTCAAAAACATGCAGTTGTATGAATATTTAAAAAATCAGTTGCCATATGAGGTAAAAGAAACCCTGAGTTTCATCTTTTCTAAAGCACAAAAAGAGGGCTCAGCAATATTTTTTTTCTGCAGTAAATCAGATTTGCGTTGGCTCCATATAATAACAATAAATAATAATTATTAGAATTATTATTGGCTTATTACACAATAATTAGGGCTGTCATGATTATGAAATATGGCTGACGATTAATTGTCTAAAAATAGTCACGGTTATTGCGATTACTTGTCTGTTTTAGGGCTTTGGCGATTATGGCGATTATCACGATTAATTGTCTGTTTTTATGGCTTTCATTATATAAATGATTAATTTAAGGGTTCAGTAATTAATTATAATGTTATCTTTTTGAGTTATTATTTTGCAGTGTAAGATTACATAGAGTATTCCAAATTCTAAGAATTGGCCAATACCGATCCAACACCAGCGTTATTTTTTCCTAAACCACTACAGAATATCAATACTGTGTTTGTGGAACTAATGGTCACTTTTTTAAAACCCTTTATCTTTGGTGCACATTATACAATTTAAACATGTTTATTCTGTTAAATATTTGTATTCTTATAAAATACATTCATGACTATAAGATAGAAATCATGAGAAAAAGAAAGGCTTCTAATAATCTTTCTGTTTGTGATAATTCCTTCCTTCCTTAAACTAAAGTATTATAATGTGAATATATCATCTTGGAGAGAGAGTTTTATGCTGACTGTCAGAACTGAACGTGACGTGCTGTTTGAATACTGAGCTGAGAATGACTGACAGCTGCAGCAGAAGGAAGATGAGTTTCTGTAAACCTAAATTCTGTCCCTCACGTTAAGATATGGAATGGCTTCAGATGATATTGGTCAGCTCATAAGCGCTGCAATTTCTGTTGCATATGAGAAACATCAAACAGCAAACGAAACTGAAAGCATAACGAAACAGCGCTTAGAGATTATACTCACCGCATCAGCACGAGCGCGAAGGTGCGCGCAGCAAAAACAACGCGCATATTGAGGAAACGATGGATGGTTTTCAAGCGAAAGTCAAGTAAAAGACCGCTTCTTAAACCAGAGAAGCTGAACATGCTGGTATTCTTGTGGGGGGAAAAATTCTTTTTGTTTTCATTTTTGAAAAACTTGTTATCTTTGCTGTTTACCTCACATTACGCTATGGAGGCTCTCTTTTATTTATTTATTTATATTTTTGATTCCTCTGTGTTTGCTAAACGTTCTGTAATTTATTAGTCGGTATATAATACAGCATGTGGTGTGTGCCATGCCTCATCTTACTCATCTTATTTCAACGTTTTGTAAGCTAGTTTGTCATTGTTGTTGTGCTTTTTAATTAAGAATAACAATAATAACAATGTTTGTTTTAGTCTTAAAAAAATGAAAGGTGTGTAGATATAAGCAAAACAGTGACAACAAGATCGCGAATTCGAAAGTGAAAGCATCCGAAGCCCGCGGCTTAACACAGCAAAAGAGAAACTCCCATTCACAAAATTCAAATCACAAATAATACTACTGATGATAAAGAACGGGTTGAATGTTAACAACTTTCGTTTCCATATAACTATAAACTATGATAAAAGTTCATCAGCATGCATTGAATAATCCCATATGTTGTAGCGCTAAAATAAATAAATAAATAAATATATTGCGACCAAATCATGTGCTCGTGCGACCAGCTCAGAAAGTTAGTTGCAAAAGAGCGACCAGTGGGAAGAATGAGTCTGGAGCCCTGATATGCATTATACAGAGGCAAGAGGAAAAGAAAAA